ATTATATTAACAATTAAATGATTTGTAAGACTACAGATAAAATATATTAAAATTTAATAATTCCCATGATCATATATTTTTCAGTCTTATTCAACATATTTATTTTTTGCAGAATTATGTAAGCCGGAATTTATTAATTGAATACTAATATAGTTTTTAATTTTTCTGACTATAAGTAAACGTGATTTCTAACGCGTTGAATATGAGTGACTCATGCGAAGCGTTTTTTATGTATATTTGTGCAAATAAAACACAGAGTCGAAATAAAAAGTTTTTTTTTCCATATTTTTGATTTTTGTACATGCCAAATCGTTGTTATTGAAAAACAACAAACCTTGTTAAAATTTTTATGATTGAAATAAGAAAACACAAAATATATAATATAAGTAATACTTAATATAAGTATATTAACCAGGTTAACTGTGATTGATTGGTAAAACTCGCCATAGTTGTGGCAAATTTTGAGTATTGACGAGTATTCTCGTCATGTGTATGAAACTTTGACTATTGGATATTAGATTAAAAAAAGACAAAACATATTCTCAAATTTCCAAATAAATTGTTGTAAAATTGTAAGCGACTGGGCCCTATTCCTATCCCAGTTAAAAACAGTTATTCTCAATAAATAGCCCTATTTCAACTGAGCCCTATCCCTATTTGATATTTCATGACTCACCAAGTTGACCTTCAGTCAGTAGAGGTTTGCAGCCGTCTACAATTCGTATGGTACGTACATTTAGTAAAAAGAAACAAATTGGAAGATATAGTTTAGATTTTCATGTTTTAAATTTTAAATTACAATACACTGATGATGAGACAAACCTAGTCTCGAAAACGTTTGTAAAATTAATATTATTTAATGAATTAGTGCAAAAAAGAGTTTCTAGTTAGTGCTGTTTGTTTATTTTTTTTCTAATATATAATATATATATATATATATATATATATATATTTCATAGAAGAAACAATTACAGACGAAATATAATACAATATAAAATTGCACACGACTGAACGGTTTTCGCTGTATGATTTTTATTAGTATCGTTTTAAAGCCTTGATGTGCAAATTCTGCAAATTAGATGAATATGATACTAATAGAATTACAAAATGCTGTTAGCACGTGAATTATTAGAAAGGACAAAATAATATTGAATCAATGAAAAAACACTATTTGCGTAAAATAACCATATATTGAGGTGACCATATTTTTTCAAGTCAAAACCGGGACGGTAATTTTTAGATATTTAGTAACAAAAATATGATTTAAAGTAACAAATACTATTTAAGAATACAAAAAAAATCTATCTTTTTAAATAAGTAATTTTTTTTTAATCAGAATTCCTGACTAAAAACTTTATATTTGATTGCATGTTGTATTTTTGCTTACATTTTTGGATCTACGTATATGTTTTTTAGCTTTCAAATCAATGATGAAATTTTGGTCAGTTTTCTTCATAATTATTTAAAATAATAGCTTAAGGTATTCCAGACAGTCAAGAAATCATTTTCACAATTTTGGTTAATTCTCGTAAAATTTAAAATAGAAGTTCAAAAATATGAATGTGAGAGGATATTTTAATCCGCCTTTTTCATATAAGCATACTAGTTGTACATACATAACATTTTTAGGTATTTGAAGGGTAGTTGCAACTTTATTATCAAGTAAAAGCAAATTTTCAATTTGACCTATACTTTTTGAAAACCCGGGGAAATCCGGGACAAATATTGGTTTTAGAAAACCCGGGGACACAAGGTGAAAATCCGGGACTGTCCCGGCCAACCGGGACGTATGGTCATATGTATATACCTGCTATTTAAATATTTATATGATATATGCTGTTCAACTTACACAAGTTGTATACAATTAATGGTAGCTTTGATAGAAAAAACTAAATATATTAAACTAATATAATTGTAGAAAATTCAATAGATCAGCATATAAAAAGTTTGTAAAAACAAAGAAGTATGTAAAAACTAATATAATATAAAACATTGAATCGATTAGCATATATAATATAAAAATATATAACATAAAAAAGTATGTAAAATAAAAACTAACGTAATGTAAAACATTGAATAGAATAGGATGTAAAATAAAAAATATAAGTGGCTTGGCGAGGCCAATAAAAAAACGCAATAAATAAAACACTTGAAAAGTTATGTAATATATAGATTACAATGATAATCAATAAATGTATTCTATTGTATTCCATTTCAATTTCAATAAAAATTCGGTTCTGGGTTTATATTCGATATATATATATATATATATATATATATATATATATATTATATGTACATAAATATATCATATTTACTTATCAGATACTGGCCATCACGCCATAACGGACTGATAATATGAATGTTTATTTTTTAAGTTTACACTAGTTAAATGTCTTTATATCATAAACGTACACACACGCACATACACACACATGTATTATATAATAATATATTATATATATATTTATATATCAGAGGCGTAGCTACCGCCATATATAAAATATCAATTTCGAGCCCCCAACACATGTAAGCAACTAGTGGGATGCATGGCATCGTGCCTTAAGGCAACTTACTGGAACTTCCCGTACCGTAATTAAAAATCTTAGTACGAAACCCAAAAAAATTTACACATTATAAAAATCTCTATAAAATATGTGATATTTTGATGTACATAAGTCCAATAAACGTAATTGACCACCAAATAAATTTTTTTAACTTAGTTTTTTTTTGAGAGTCTATAACCGCTGGACCTGCCTTCCAAAAAATTAAATCAGTTCATCTTGTTCAACACAAATATTATGTTTTTTGAATTATTAAAATCGGATGATCCGTTCTTTTAAAAACTGAGTCACCGTTTTTGGCACTTTTTGCCTTGTATCTTCGGAACGGCTAGACCTGCCTTTGCTAAAAACTAATCAGCACGCCGCCTTATCAATGCGAATCGAATGTTTTTTGAATTATTCAAATCGGTTATATTCGCACACACACACATACACACCATCTTTTTTCTAAGGTATATAAAAATGTTCAGAAACTTTTAAAACGTAAAGATATATAAAAATTAAAATTTTCAATTTTTTGCGATTACTATAACTTGCCCCACAAGAAGTTAAAAATTAGTAAAGGCTTGCCAGATTTACCATAGAAGCAGCTACATCAGGAAAACTAAAGTCATCATCAGCCATATAATTTAATGAATAAACTTGCTGAAAAAGGGCAAAAATGGTGTATATTTAATTCGATTTGCTTATAGAAATTTTGTTTCAATGTGACAAGATAAAAGTAATTCTCTATTCCTTTTTATGATTTTAACTTCCTGAAGAAGTCGGTTTTGTTTGCAACAGAAATTCCGACTTGCATTTTGAATCGTTCGACAATTAAGTCATTTTGAATCGAATGACGATCGGTCCAGCCATTTCTTGGGATTAGCATATTTTAGCCTAATATACAAAACCTATTTTAACCCTTTCCACTCGCGAATTCCGAGAATTATATGAAATTTTCCTTATCCGAATGGAAAGGGTTAAAAATTAAAAACCTTTCGAAAGATATCAATTCAGAATCGTGACG